AGAAAAAGAAAAAGAAAAAGAAATAGACTTATTTGATATAAGAAGAGTATCGCTACATAAATCCATTCCGAGATCAAGGAAAAAGCTTGGGCGAGTTGGTTTACATTGTATTGTGTGACTGTTTTAGGGCATGAAACTTGGAAATATTCCCCGTAAAACAGCCTCACAATGCATTGCAATGCTAACTCGATCCAGTTTTTTCTTCAACCTCAGGATGGCAAATAGAGGGTGCCAATGGGGGTATACCCAATTGTCAGTAACTACTCCTTTTTCGGCTACTAACTTTAGGCTATTTGTCAGTTTACTACTATTTTTTGGCCAATTGTCAGTTAACAGTTAACTGCTAACTATTTTCTGCTTGACAAGGCTAAAGTTTCGGCAATTTTCGTAACACAATCATATCTCGAGTTACTCGAGATAGGTAATAAAACAGAATACAATATATAGTAAATAAAACTAAGATGAAGAAGCTTCAAGAACATTTTTCTTGCATTTTTAAGCCAGATAATAATCTCAAACGCCTTTTGGTAATAAAACTTGTAGACATATTGCTTAATTATATGTTGTTATCGTTATCTTGACATCCTTGCATTATTAGTTCTCCAGTAATGATAACCTAATAATTGACGGTGGATCAGTGATATTAGACTAGACTCGGAGTCTGCCTTCCATGTTAAAGGTCCATGGCGCACGGAAACTGTGCAAGCATAGTATGATACGTAAACAAATAGGCGCCTGTTGGGACATAGTGGAAGGAAAACAGCAAATGCAGTATGTCCTATACCATATGGTATTGTTTAGGATACCAATTGATAAAAGTACAACAGGTTTTAATTATGAAGATACCACTCGACAGAGGTTCGTTTGAAACTGAGTTATGAGATGGATATCTCAAGAAAATAAAACAGCAATGGCGCCATGGTCAGGAGTGAGCGACACTGTGACGCTACRGCATAACTAATATTGGAATTGATTTTTTTCCGGTTTGTTAAAATCGAACGAATGATCATTTTTTGTGTCTTGCGACGGTTTAATGCCATACAGTGGTTCAAGTAATCGGTATCTATCCCACAATTTCCCCCCGATAAGATTCATATAAAATATTATTGCAGATAAAAAGCTAATAAAAAATATTGGATACATGTACCAAAGTTAGGCTCGAATGCCAGAAAGACTGACTGTATAAGTAATTTTTTTGGGAAGGGTTTTGTTTGTAATTATTAGCTAGTAATTCAGATCGCATGTATCTGGAATATAAAAATATAAGATTATATACAACCAATCCTTACTTCTTGACAACTGTCAAGTGTTTTTGGCTTCTCTCGAGCGCTACTCAATAGGAGCTTCGTCCAACCATGCAAACAAATTAATAACTTCAAAGTTTGAATCGTCTCATTATCCAACAAAGTATTTCACTACAAGAGCACACACTTGATTCGAGCGCGGCGCGATTTGACAATGAAAGAGACGATCCAGGAGCAATATGTTTATATTAGACATTGTGACATGATCGCCACATTATCAGTGGAATCAAARAGAGCACTAGAATGTGATAATCAACCAACAGTTAATGACCAAATATCACAGTGATAGTAAACAGGTACAGAAAGGGCCTCTCCGACAAGTCTGTATTCTATTTGGCAAAGCTGAATAGCGTAATTTTGTCCATTCAAAACTAGCACCTACAACTATCCTAACAATATATTCTTTAGACTGACTGATGAAGAGCAGCTGAATATCGGTCGTAAACAACTGCCTTGAAAAATATTAATGAACCTGTTACTATTTTTAGATTGCATTACACAAACTGAATATTGTTTTTTGTTATTTAGTCAAATTTAAACTTCTTTCCAGAAATATCCTGCAGAAACACTACAATTTTTCAAGCCATAAACTAATTGACTGAACAAGGAATTTAATTAAAGCAATCTTATTTGAGAATGTTGACTGGGAACTGAAATAGCAAGGTATCTAAATAGAGGTTCATTAAACTTATCAATACCAATCAATTCGACAAATCAATTTTGCGCAAGAATAGCGTCAGCATACTTTTGGTCAGCGGACTAAAATTCCTGTTTGAAACGGCCGTAATCATTCAATCATGCATATATATCCATATCTGCTATATCTACAAGTTCTATAAATTCTTAAAAAAGAGCCTTATAATTCATTATGCTTGATTACTTTTGAAAAAAAAAAGTAATTATTATCTTCTGGGGCAGAATATGATGCACCAAAAACCAAGATAACCAGAACAGCATTATCAAGTCAACTATCTCGACTGCAAAATGTTCTGAAAGACTCAGCTCCGCTTGCCGCTTTGTTATTTTTACGCTGTTTTCGTTGCGCAGCTTGTTGGCGCTCTTGAATTGTTTGTAGCCAATGGTTTTACATCCTTTACCCCTGGGTTGCCGAGAATGTTGTTTTGACAAAATACCATGTTTGTGTTGTCGTTTTTCTTGTCATTAATTGTTTAGCTTTTGTTTCTTGAATGAATACAGCAAATGTATAAACACATCAATGAAGTCCATTGTAGTTTCCTGAATCCTAAAAATTTGGTTTTTCCCCTTTTTGTTATTTTCACTGTATTTTTCTTAGTGCTTAAAAATGATTTTGATGGCTTAATTTTTTTCTGTTGCCGAAATAAGGGATATCGACTAATTTTCGTTGTTATTGCATGTTATTTCTTAATTTGATGCTACGTTGTTGTTTTTTTCACGCTCACCTCAACTTTAAAATGTCCTCGACTTATCCAGTCTCAAAAATACTTAACCCAGAATGTCCCCAAAGTTGTCCAAAATCACAGCGAATCCAGTACTGAACAAGTAAGACCGGAACCCAGCAATGAAATCAGTGAAACAATGTTAATTCAGTATACTAAGAATACTAAGCATTAACAACCACACGAGAAAATAACACATGCTCTTTGATAATACATATATTACCAAAGAAGTGTTTTCCGGCATCTTTTAACATTTGTCAAGTTCCATGAGTTGTTTAAATGAGCTGAGTCTGACTGCACGAAAGGAAGAATTTTTTTGGGGTATGTGCGAAAGGATTTTAAACATATGTCTTTATGACTTAAAAAACAACAACAAGATAAGACAGACTAAGTTAGTTATAATTAAAAACGACAACATACGCAAAGCAAAACTGAGCAATACTTAAAACATAACCTCTTAACGAACAAAAAAACTTGAAGTAAGAAAGAAATTGGATCGTTGCCTGACCAATCAGAATTGTGACAATCTCTTGATGAAGGTGACAGCCTTAAACCTTCTCTTAAACCATAGCATAACGTGGATTAATAAAACTAAAAGCAAAATKAATGGGTTTTAAAGTTGTGATAAGATCGAGTACTGAAGGATGATCGCACATATTTGACAATCTGAGAAGTTAATAGGTTCTTAAACTATATATGGCCTCTAAGACCCCTGGAAAATGTCCCATCATTTTCGCGTTTGATTTCATCCTTAAATGGCTTGACAGTTTTGACTCTAAGGTTCTTGAAGTGAGTTTGGATTTTTTAATTTTTACAACGATAGTAGATAAAACAAAGCCCTACTCTGAGAGCTAAAAGTAGATATGGCCGCCGTTCAAGAGAAAATATCCTTATCAAAAAGCCGCCAACGTGGCCTCAATAGATAAATAAAACAACCTTAATCATATTATATAATCTTTTGAAATAGGCTACATAGGACTCTAACAAATACCAGGCAATCTAGCTACTGTTTTATTATTCAAATACAGATAAGGAAACCTACATTCGCAGTAGGTGAGAGATATATTATCTATATAGTACGTGCTAAATATGGTCGAGTGGTCTAAAATGAGTGGTCGAAACTGATAGTATTATTTTTTCTAAGGTGTTTAGTTATGCTATTCATTATCGTTGGTAAATTAGTTTTCGACTTTTGTGTAAAAAAAAAAAAAAAACAAACATGCCTAGTAGTTATACGTGAGAAGCTTTCTTTTAGCTTTGGAGTTTTTTTCATTTTTCTTTTGTAGTCTGACTGCCTTTGGTAGGCATATCGTTCATGGCCATTTTATTTGATGGGAATCTTCAAGAACTGTCCATTCTCATCCTATCCTGTTTAGGTAGTTAGGCAATGGGCAGAAGTCCATAGGGCTTAACGCGCACAAGCTTGAGGAATAAAGAGTCTATACTCAGTTCATGCTGACATGCACTTACATAATCAAACGAATAAATTTGTCGACTAACCTTGCATTTCAAAATACTTTGGCGTTCATTTTACTGAGGGAAAAATGGTCAAACTTAACCAATGTATTCACTTCGCTGGCCATGAAGCTAACTGAGCAGGAATATTGTTCATGACCCATAAAGATAAACATTGACTAAAAGCCATTTCAATTTACAATTCATTATTTATGAATAAGTAAGTAGTGAATTGGCAAA